AAAACCGGAGGTGGGTGATGGTAGGAGGAGGAGGAAGAAGAAGAAGAAGATGGAGAGAAGATGAAGAAGAAGAAGAAGAAGAAGAAGAAGAAGAAGAAGAAGAAGAGAAAGAAGGGGTGGGAGGTGTGTGCCCACTGCCTGATGATACACCGAAAAAAAAAACAAAACGAAGTTGGGTGAAGAAGAAGAAGAAGAAGAAGAAGAAGAAGGCAGTGAGAATGAGAAGAAGAAGAAGAAGAAGAAGAAGAAGAAGAAGAAGAAGAAGAAGATTAGGGCGAACTTCACAATGGCCGACGAATTTCCTGAAGAAAAAAAAAAACAAGAAGAGGTAGGGGAAGAAGAAAAAGAAGAAGAAATTTAGGGCGAACTTGACAATCTGCGATTTTTCGAAACGAGAAGAGTAGTAGTAGAAGTAGTAGAAGAAGAAGAAGAAGAAGAAGAAGAAGAAGAAGAAGAAGAAGAAGATGAAGAAGAAGAAGAAGAAGAAGAAGAAGAAGAAGAAGAGAAGAAGAAAATTAGGGCGAAGTTGAAGAAGAAGAAGAAGAAGAAGAAGAACAGGATGGAAGAAGAAGAAGAAGAAGAAGAAGAAGAAGAAGAAGAAGAAGAAGAAGAAGAAGAAGCAGAAGAAACTCCTCTCTCAGCCAGCGGCTGCCAATGTCTGCCACGCATACACTGACTAGTGGAGGCAGAAAGCGGCAGCCTTTCTTGAACGTCGCAGAGAACAACCTCGGAGCTGCAGCCTTGTCTCCCCCACCATGGCCAAGTCTCCCTGCTACGACCAAGCTGCCCACACTCTTTTCACCCTGCCCGAGCAATGCAGCTGCCCACACTCACGGCTGCCCACAAATGCCACGGCGGTAGAATGGGAAGAGTGTGGGCAAGCACACTCTTTGTACTGCCGCCGACCAGGGAAAAGGCAGTGTCGACGGTCGGCGGCCTCCCAGGCCGTGCCCCGATCGGTCGACCCCCTCAGTACCGGCCCAAAACACAAAAAACGGGCCTTTGGGGTGGGGGTGGCCGCCGCACAAAAATGTGTCAGGCCAACCCCGCCGATCGGTTGGCGCCGACGGCCAAAACGGTCGGCGGGTCAGCGGCCGACCGACCGAGGCCCCCCAACGGTCGGCATGTGCAACCCTGGTCAAAAGACAAAATACCAGTCAACAGACAAAAAAGAAAAGAAACAGAAAGCGGTACCAAAAGATCCACGGTTAGAACCGCCAAAACCTACGAAATCCAAGCCCTATCCGAATACCAAAAAAGTCCAAGGTTCGAACCACAAAAAACGTAAAACGAACCCTATCCGAATGCTTGACAAATCGAGCCTCCAATGAAAAGAACAAAAAAACAACTGGCATGACCCTGTCTGCATACTTGAACCATGCACAGGGATCCATTCTAGGTCAAGGAAGCCTATCAGAACAATCAAAGCAATTAGTACAGAAGGTTGACAGTACGCCTCCAGACTGCATCCCTTCTGACCGCAAAACTCTTCTGAAGCCCGTGCTGGGAATCGGGCCCAGCGTCCCATATGAAGACATGTGAAAAAACAATTATGAGCAAATTGAGATACCGGGGCCATTACCCGGTTTCTGCTTGAGAGTATCCTCCAAGATCGTGAACAAGCTACTGAACTTTGGGATGGATGATGAGAAAACTATGACTCTTTTTTTACGATCGCTAAACACCTCCTGAAATCCACACCAATTTTTCGAACACTCAAGTATCTAAGGGATTTCCAACAGGTCAAAACAAAGCTCACCAAAACTGACTTATTCTCTAACAAACTCATCCAGGCCTCACGCCCCCTATCTGCTAGGTTACAGAGCTACGCAAAGTGGGAAGATTGCATTGGCACAGAGAGAGAGAGAGAGAGAGAGAGAGAGAGAGAGAGAGAGAGAGAGAGAGAGAGAGAGAGAGAGAGAGAGAGA